TCAGTAAGAGAACAACTTGACTTGAAAATTGCTGTTGAAAATAATCAAAGAAGTACTTTTAGAAAATGTCTCACTGCACAGTGCATCAGAAAAGACATTCTGCAATTTATCGAGTAGCTCTGTCATTAATAAATGCAATGTGAAATCGTGGATTTAGGAAACAAATTAAAAAAACATTTTTCAAATTATAAAATTATTACCTATGGAGTAGTAGTAGTAAGGTGAAAACACTCAACTATATTTTTTAAATAAATGCAATGTGAAATCATGGAGTTAGGAAACAAATTAAAAAAACATTTTTCCTTTATATATACAGTATAAATCTAAACACTGCAGTGTTTTCATCTGAGAATTCCTTCTCTGTAGAATTCTGCAGGATGTTTTTCCCATCAGATCACAACTGGTTTCTTTGCCTCATCTGAAGACTGAGGCAACGCTCCTTTTTAAGTTTTGGTAAAAGAAAAAAAAAGATATCTGAAGGTTGTGTGTGTGAAAGAAAAATTTTGACAACTAGCTGTCTTTATATGTTTTATTATTTTGCATATTAGGGACAAGTCACACAGAGAGCAAAGCAAGTCTGAAGTGATGGGCCCTGAACACATCTCGGGGGGGGCGGGGGGGGGTGGACTCTTTGAAACAGTTCAAAGGGGAACATCTACTCTAAAAGAATACTTGAAACACAGACATCATGTTGCCATGACGCCCTGGTCCCATACAGAAGTCTCACGTGCAGGGACCGTGTCTCTATGGTCGAACCAACCCAGTAGCTTCTGCACAAAAGAACAGTAAGAGAAAGCCCTCAGAAGCTGAAGATGTCAGAAGATTTCTATTACAGATAAAAACATGTGTCAGAGGTTCAATAATTTGATTAGTTTGATGAACATTTTGCTCAATGATCACTAGATTGATTTCATTTTTCAGGTTTGATCAAATCAAACCTAACAGTTCAACACCTGACGAAAACAGACATAGCAGTAAACCTGGTCAAAGCTGATGGAGATGCATGAGAGACGTGTAGTTATTAGAATCAAACCAATGTCGGACCACAACTGTCCTGGTACTGTTTGACTTATATCTTTGTCTGATAATAAACAGGAACTGAATCAAACTTGGTCAGCGATTTGGATTCAAACAGACTCTATTCAGATACTGTGAGTAAAACAGTGAGACGTTACGTGCTAATAGGATATAATTAGTGTCATTTTGTTTTTGTCTCCGTCCAATGTGTACTGTTGAACATAGCAGTTTACAAACACTAAAGAAAAAAAAACCACTATGAAAGTCTGTGTTGAAAGTAGGCGACTGGAACAGTGACTGTGGGAACTTTTTTTTTTTTTTTTTAAAGAACCGTCTGTTTTATGATTTGCTCAAAAACGATGTGGCTCACACAGTGTGTGCGCGTGTGTGCTGTTCTCACTTGATGAGTGTAGCTATCATTCTCTCCATACTGTTGTCAAACCGTGTTAAAAATAACGTCATGTTGACGTCTTGTTTGTCGTATCGTTGCTGCAACCATATGCTGTCCTTTTTCTTTTCTTTTTTTCTGTCTATATTCCCATGTCGTCACTCGGATGCTGCGTCAGACTATTAAACAACAGGCAGATTGTTAATCTAAAGCCTGGAGTTCCCACCGTATAATCCCACCACAACAGATTATGTCAGTCTTGAATTGGATCCTCCGAGCTTCCACTTTTATCATCCAAATAAAGCTTCAGGGTTATTCTTATCTTGCCCTTTTTTGGGTGTTTTCCTCTCTCTTTAGTGCAGGGTGTGAGGGCTCAGAGGAAGAGGAAAACAACATGTGTGAAATCTTCATTCTCTGTTGGTTAAATTGTGTTGTTGACGTTGCAGCCCTGAAGCCAGGGACCAGAAGAGACAAACAGATATTAGGGGAGAAGCCGCTGAAACCATTGTTAGTAATAAAGCTCATTAACGACTGCTGAAATTGGCAGGACGATGGCCTCGAAGGAATACGGTGGTATGTGTGATATAGAAGTAGTTTTTTTATTTATTTATTTTCTGGCTGATGTTTGATTTAAGCTCAGACTGAGTTCTTTTTTTTTGCTTGCAACATTTGCTCAATACCTCCAATATTCACATTTTCTTCGCAAATAATTATGCTTAATATTTCTGCTGAAATAATATTTATTTATAGATATTCAAATTTAGTCTGCAATATTCAGTTTTTTTGTAGATATATTATTTCTGTCAGTGAATTTAACATTCTACGTATTATAGTAATTCATATTAATAATAAAACTTCATTCAAGTATTTGTGGAATATTTTAGTTTGCTGTGAAAACATTTGATTTTATTAAAATAATTTATAAAGCTTCACACTTTCACCTGGCACTGTACATGACTGAATGTTAATCTGTCTGAATATTTCAAAGAGATAGTCTTCATTTTTCTCACAGTAACAGGAGCAGCTGTTATTCCAAACATGTCCTAACGTTCTATGGCTGTGATCATCATCCTTTACTCCTGGTCCAATTGGAAATATCAATCCTGTAGGCAAAGCTGCAAAGTGCAAATATGAAAATAATAATAATAAAAAAAAATCAATGTGCTGTGCAGTGAGGCTCAGCAGTGACATGTTGCAGTCATCAAAGCTTAAAATGTAAATCTCACAGCAGTCACACTGTCACATAACAGCCCTCCATGCTGTCGTCAACATGCAGTACTGCTGCACTGAGGCATCATTTAAATACCATACGTCAGATGCAGAGGGTAGAAAGCCATTCTCGATCACATATAGAAGCTGGTTGGTTGTCCACACATATGGATTGAACCGTCATCCTTTTCTTTATCTTTTTTTTTTTTGTCTTTTTAAAGAGAAAGTCACATGGTTTATGTTCCTTTTGTTATTGGCAGAAAAAAATAAAATCATGTTGTTGATGTTTTTATGAGTAAACAGACTTAAAATAAATTGTTCTCCATTATATGTTTTTTTATTTTTTTGTTAGAGTAAATCCTTCTTTATTGTCCCTTTCTATTAAGACTACTATAGAAGTTATAAACTTCTAAAACTATGGCTCTGTGACTTGAGGATCTGTACATTCATTCAAAGCCTCCTGAACCTAAACCTCCTATGGTTTAGTATTTTGAATAAAGTTCAGTGGAGATTTGAAACACTACCTGTAAATGTGTTGATTTTGGGTGACATGACACCACTCCCATCTTCATAACGATGGTTCAGGAACCACCCATCTGAATCCAAAGCTGCAGAGCTCGGCTGTTTTTGGGTTCAGAGAGACTAAAGCGTCTGTAGCTGTGAGAACCTTCAGCTCTGACTGGCCATCCTTCAGTGAATCCCCATAGTTATGTCTTCACCCTACAGAAACGCCGCTGTATAAATATTCATTTGATGTAAAGTGTTGAAGAAGTGCGTCGACATTGCTACTGGTGAGGAGGAAAAAAAAACTGTTTAAAATTTCATGAATTCACAAGTAGCCTGGTTTTTGGCACTTATTCTCAGTGTAATTGACATGTTGCTGTTCTTGTAGTGGAAAAACTCCATGAATTATGCACAGAAAACATTTTTACCACATATTCTATTAGAATTATATTGTTCCGTGCCATTTCTGGTCTCCAGTTCTGTCGAAGACTTTTGACAGCCCCATTTTTACCTCAGCCTGTGATGATCAGTCAAACCCTTTGTTTCTCACCTTTTCCAAACACAGAACCTCAGCCTCGGGCAGAGCCAGTGCAAACGCCTTGACTATAGCGGCTCCTTATGTATTTTATCATTCTGACCTATTAAGCGAGCAGACTCAGAAGTGAGAGCTAAATTTAATCTTTAAATGATTCATGGTCAGGAGGAGAAATATTATAGCTTTCATTTATACTGTGGGAAAAGTGAGGCTAAATATTCTACATTAAAAGTAAATGGTGAGGTTAGACGGTGAAAAACACGAGGCTAGTGTGTTTTTATTTATTTATTTTTTCAAATCGCAGTTGCGACGCTCATGCACGCTTTTCCCGGAAACGTCAAAATGATCCGTTTTCATACTTCAATGTGTTTTAATATTTCAGTGGACACAAATGCAGACTTGATGCATTAAATTGCAAATGTTTGGGTCATATTTGATCTATATTTAATGAGCCGTGAATTTAGCAGTCAGCAACGCTGCCTGGTGTAAGAGGTTCACAGTCTGGGTTTTCACTGAAAAACATCTGTTTCTGAGGAAATGTTTTTCCGTCTTTCTTTTTATGAATTAGTTTATCCGCAACTCTGTGACCTTTTTGAGGAACTATCAGGTGAAAACACATCCATAAAAAAGTGCTCTGTTCTAAAATAACTAATAATAAACTAATAAACTAATAATTTTCTGCTGTACTGTAATGCCCTGGTGGTTAGTCTCCTTAAAAGCAACAAGAGTGGTTAACCATCCAGTAATGCTCTGAGGGAGCTGCAGACTTAGTTGCATATTGATTTACACTTGTCCTGTCCAACACTGAAAAGGCCAAAGGTAGTCAGGCAGAATGCAGAAAATCTGTGTTTCTGTCAAATCAGCACTTCCATCCCTTATTTTCCTGTCATCACTCCAATGATATAATTAGGAGGCTGCATTCCTCAGCTCTGCCAGGCCTGAGTAGAAGACCATTGATTGACAATGGAAGACATTACCATGAAAAGAAGTAAGGAGCGGCAAGATAGAAGATGTGAATATGGAAGATGTTATGAATGAATGTCGCCATTGACTTTCTATCTGAGCTGCCATTTCCATTATGGAATAAATTCATTATTGCTGTTCCCAGAAGCCACAGTGTATGATCCAGCTCTATCATGACTTTTTTTTTTAATATTTACACATTACTAAAGTTTGACTTATCTGCTTGGCTGCATGGTGGACAGCTAGAATGTTTTACAGCGTCATAAATATCAAAATAGTCCAACTGCACTGTGAGAAATACTGCCAACTATGTAACTTTGCTTTGCCCGAGAAAGTCAGTGGTGAAATGAACTCTGTGTGTGTGTGTTTGTTCCCTTTTGACAGATGTGATCCACACTGTGGGCCCAGTGGCCAGAGGTCACGTGAGCACGACAGAGACCAATGACCTCACCTCTTGCTATCAGAACTCCCTCAGGCTGGTGAAGGAGCATGGCTTGAGCAGCGTGGTGAGTACAGAACATGTCCCCACACTCTCACCCACCCGCAGGGGGGGGAAATCAGACGCAGGTGAAAGAAATAAATTATACGCTTTTGTTGTTTTTATTCAGCGGTGTTTAAGCCTTCCGTCACAGAAGCAGTGGGAATTTCATGCACTAGGAAAAAAGGTAGAAGAACAAAAGGATAGACATTTTTTAGAATTTTTTTTTTCATTTTAGAAGGTTTTGGAAAAGGCTTAATCTGCTTCATTTAAACAAAAGCCACAGAGAACACAGCAAAATGGTAATGTTTCATGTTTGCCAGACAAAAGCTTTTTATGTCACCTACTTTCACTCGTGATTAAAGGCCAGTGTTTGATTCTACCTCTTCATTTGTAGCAGTGAATAACTACATTTTAATTATTTTTTAGTCAATTTAATTGGACAACCTCTTGTGGTCGTTCCATGATATTTTCTTCAAAGTCACGTTTGTAGCACCAAAGTTCATTTCCATTAAAGTGGTCTTTCTACAAATCTGTTGCTTTTCAAGAATTTCCAACTTTTGACTGTTTGATTGTTTAGCTACGTTATAGGAATCAGGACTACACTAATGGCCACAGTTCTATTTACCTTACTGCATGATCACTGAAAACCACATCAGAGCGTACAGTAATCCAGTAAAACAGGCCAAAAACCGGCCAACTTGATACATTTAAAAGTACACTTCATTAAATATGAAGGTTTTCTGATGCACTTCTTTACATGAAAAAAGTGGAAAAACATGGATTTATTTTTATTTATAGGTAGTTACTTTATGATTGTACTTGTCCGGCCCGCTTGACTTCAAATTAGGCTGAACCGAACCCTGAACCAAAATGAGTTTGAAACCCCTGGTCTAAACAAACAACATACCTGCTGAGGTTGTCAGGGTTCAACAAAGTCAGAACATAAATAACCTCATCCTGGCTGTATTTTTGGCACTGTGTTAAGATTTATTCAGCTTGGACCCCTCCCATGGTTTATTGCTTCTATAATCTGTGTATATATATATATATATATTGTGGGGCAGACCAGATTCTGACTAATGTATTTACACAGCTGTGAAGGCCTTCGGTGAAAACAGTGTTGTTCCATGTCTGACTCTACTTAAAGGAAGAGCCAAGTCGTTACCTTATCTTTGACACACTTTTGTCTCTCCTTGCTGCAAGGACGGCAGAGCAGACCTTTTTTTCTGTAGAAACTAAAATGGAAGAAGTTTGATTCTTTCCTCAAGCCTTGATTTAGTTTTTTCTCCAGACTGCCTTGATATGCAAGACGTACTACAAGAGAGCCTCTTAGGGGTTTCTAGCCAAAATTCTTTAGCAGTCAGTCTTGTGGCGCCTTGTTGCTGAGCACAAAGAGTCCAAATTTTGTGGTTAGCTGATCAGGACTGAGCTCAGTTTGAGCCTTGCTGTGTGGGGGAAATAAAAGATCCTTCCAAGGACGGGCATCCCGCCAAGTGGGTCTACAAACAGGCAAAGGAAAGGTGCTAAATTAAAGAATCCCAGACAGCTGCCTCTTTAATGGGGATTTCAGAGCGTTATAAAGGATTGGGAGGCAAAACAAAGACTAATACAAAATAAACTTGAACATTTGAGATTACAAAGGACCATCCCCTGGAACCTAATCCATTATTCTGAAACCTGAAAGTTGGGCATTCAGGCAACAAAACAGTGCAGTCATAGAATCAACATCTTGTTCTGACAGTTGCATGTCAGACTAAGTGTTTACAGGGGAACACAACTGGATTTCTTTTACCCCAGGGCAGTTCATTGTGAAGAACAGAATCTTAACTATTATCCTCAGAAGGAGGAAATTAGATTAAAAAAGAGCCTTTTCTTGTCCCCACCTGTTGTTATTCTGATTTACAGGTCTACAGTCTCTGAGACGGTAAATGGGAAGTATGACTTTCAGACAACCTAAGGCAGTGCCGGACTGGGTGTTTTTTTCTTTTTAAAAATAGAATAACTTACTTTCAGCTCTTTTAAACAGTCACGACTCCCTTAGAGTTAGATAGTTATTTTAGTATCATTATTATTATTTTTGCTAAGCTGTGTCATGTAGATATATTATATACTGTATATAACATTTATACAAACGATGTGCCTGCTTAATACATACATCTGATCTGTGCACCTATGGTGATGTATAGGCCTCATTGGGGTATTTTTCCACTCTGGGTTTATTCCCATTAAATACCATATTATTGTTGTTGTACTCGGATGTTCTAAACCCCATGGTACTTCATCCTGCTTGACGTATCAGAGTAAATGAGCTCAGACTATCGATGTGACAACCTCTAGGCCTCTGGACAAACTGTAAGTGTAGGATGGAGCTCTGAGCCCCAGTTGAAGGATGGCCTTCAGATGAAAAATGATGATCAACCTGAGCCAAGAAACCTCTCGTTTAACCCCACACTGACGTGGACAACAATCTGGAACAGCTTCTGCTTTAACACCCTCGCTTTGTCTTTGTCTCCCGATGAATATCAGATGCCTGGCAATCCATTTAATTGTGTTTTCCAAATCAATTGACTGCAGCCAGCGCAGAGGAAAGACAGAGTGTGTATTTATTTTATGTGCAAACATTCATTATGTCTTCTATGGCAGACTTCCTCAGGAATATTTGAATAGGCCTTTGTTGGGTTGGTGTTCTTTATTTATTTCTTCTCAGCCTAGAGGATTCCTTTGCTTCAGTGCTTTTCTTTCCCTTTTTTTACTGTGGCTGAAAGAGCAGCAGGCTGTCACAGCTCTGACTGACCACAGCCCACAACCAGAATGCCAGCGTAGCCGGCTGGGCTTTGTAACATCACACAGAGGAGCTGTGGGAGCTGTGCCGTCTGTGAGTATAGAGTTGCAGCCCTGGTCAGATGAGCAGCACATTGTCAACCAGCATCCTCCTCCTCCTCCTCCTCCTCATCTGCTCACTCTGTGTTACACTGTAGTTTGTTGTCTCTATCCAGAGGAGGCCAAAATAGAGCTGGAGTTAGAAATTGGGACTTTTGACAGATTGATTCTAGGCCTAATGTGTGTGTGAATATGCCGGTCGATAGAAGTGAAGATGCTCTTGGAAGCTATTATCTGGCGATGGGACATATTAAATAGTTCTCATTATGAGTGCACAGATAAATGGAGTGTGCCTTGTTATTATATTCAATTTGCAAAGTTTCTGGGACTAAACTTGCTGCACAGCAGCAACACAGAATTACACTCATGGTAATTTTCCCAGACAGACAGCAAAAGAGATTACCTGTGATTATGTGTTGAGGTGACATGCGGTGTGTAAAATGCTGATTTTAACCCACTGACTGAGACCTGAAAATTTGAATTATATTTTAGCTGAACAAAACAATTCTATTCATAGAATGCTATTGTGTGTGCTGAAATGCAAAGCAGAGATTTTCTTTAGTGTGTTTGGAGTGTGTCTGTGTACAGGCTGACCCTAGGGGAGCCTCCTCTCCAGCGATACAAAAAAAGGGGTGAAGAACACAAGGAAATGAGGAGACAGTTATTGCAGCTCCCCTGTCTTGGTTTGTCATGGAAGGCTGCTCAGATTCTTCCCTGGAAGCAAGTATAGCATCTGTCAGGCAGTAACACACAGAGAGAGTGTTGGTGGTGGGGGGATGCCACCATCTGGAAGTCATATAGCTTTAGACTCTGTTTCATTTTGGAGTCCATATTAAACACATCTACGGCTTTGACCTTTCAAGACAATCGTCATGTTTACCACAAACATTATTGCTCCATTATTCAGCCTGTGCTTTGAGCCTCCACGGAGTTTACAGTTGAGACAATAACAAGGATTTAAGTCGTGAGGTGTTGGCATCTAAACACAACAGGCATTTCAGATGTTGACTAATGATCTGCTGGACAAATGGAACCCTGTTTTCTTCCTAATTCGATGCTGACAGGCCACAATTTGATGCTTTTTCAAAGCGACTGTCATTAAGCTCTTCCTGGCAGCCTGCAGTGGGCTGGCAGCTGTCAGTGAGGACAGTGATGGGGAGGCAGGCTGCATTTAGTGGCCTCCCTCTCTTACTCACAGGCAGTCCTGGAAGTGTGCTGCAGTTACAACACACTGGCTTCCAGCAGATCCAGCAGGGAGGCCACAAATTGCCCGTTGAGGAAAACGCTGAAAGCCAAGTGGATTGGAGATGAATGGTGTAGAATGATAGGATTAGTGTCCCTCTTCTGCAGACTCATTCCAAAGCTCCTCGCCACATTAGCTTTCATTCATTTTGTCCACCAGTGTTGCAGAAAGCATTCCCACAAACTCACGGTGATGCGTCAGCCTGTGCTTGAAGATGACAGATGATGGTCTGTACATGTTCAGCTGCCTGACATGACAGCGACATCAAGGAAGTCATAAACTACCAGTGAATGGACAGTAGACATCATCACCTCTATAAGATGTCAATCATTCATCACATTGACGCTTGGGTGGCAACTTGTCTTTCATTGTGTTTTTAAACTGGCTTCCTGTTCTCGGCCCTTCCATTAAAATGTGCTGTAAATAACTTCTACTGTTCCACCTTTATCACTAGGTCACTGGTGATATTGGAAAATGTGTTTTTTACTGCCGTGTTTAAGTGCACTGGAGGGTCTTTGTCATTATTTATACTGCCAAATACAACCATAATAAACTTAACGACTTTGTATTCCACCCTGTCCATTTCGGTGCACCGACTCCCAAAGTGATAAATTCATTTTGCATTTATGCGCTGAATAGATCACGCACACAGTTTTCCTCTATCTGCCTCTCTGAGCCTTTGTCATAAATTACTGCCCATGAATGCGAGTGACTCCAAATTTAATTATGACTAAGAGAGGGATGGAGGCTTGATTGTGAATGCACTTGGCTCCTGATCATAGTTAACTGTGCCATTAATTCAGATAAAGGAACGTAAAAGAATTCAGTGTGGATCTGTGTGAATTCTTGGCATATCTCAAAAGTCCTTTTTTTAAAAAACAACTTTTGTCAGATAAGCAGTG